ACGTGCGGGCGCATTGAGAAGCTCATTTACAAGACGGTGAGTCGTCTGTTATCTTTGTCTGCCGTGTCACCTCTAAATGTGTGTGTCGTAGGATCTGGGGATGAATAGTAAGCATGGGTTGGGTTTGTTATCTTCTCGTACTAATTATTTCCTTAGCTCCGTATAATCCGAAGAACGAGCACCGCAGGCTGCATCGCCATCCTGCTTTCTTCGGTGCCATTGAACACTGTCTCGAGGACTGCTGCGAGGTAGACAGTCCATTTCTTATGACGGATCTAGCAGTAACCTTTGGTCCCAGTGCTGCCCCGAGCCCCGCAACAAGGAGGAACATGAGCTTCAGGACGAAGAAGACAAGGTCTACGTCCGCGGCCGCATCGCGTACGTGTCATTCTCCGCCCTCCCTCTGCGCAACCCCCTCACCCCGCTCCAGATTCATCGAAGAGGACCCCGGGCGCCAAAGCATGTCCGGGAGCTTCAACCCGATCGACGAGGGCGAATGGAGCGAACAGGCGTACGTGCAGGCCGTCGCCAAGTTCTTCGCGGCGATCAGCACGGGCGACCGCGTCGGCGTGAAACAGATGATCGAGGACGGCGAGGACGTCAACCGCCGGGACTACGTCGGGCGCACGGCGCTGCACTACGCGCTGCTGGCGGGGCAGCCCGCCATCGCGTGCGACCTCGTCGACGCGGGCGCGCGCATGACCGCGCGCCTGCCGGGGGGGCGCAGCGCGCTGCATCTGGCGGCGCAGACGGGCCATGCGGCGGTCATCCGCAAGATGCTCGAGCGCAGCGCGGTGAATGAGGAGAAGGCGAAAGAGGAGGAGGAGCTCAGGAAGAAGAAGGAGGAAGAGGCGGCGATGGAGGTCGAGGACGACGAGCGGCCGAGCAGTGAGGACGATTGGTCCTCCGAAGGCGACGAGGACGACGACGAGGACGGCGACGAGGACGAGCAGGAAAAGGCCGAGCCGAAGGACGACACGAATGTGCTCGACGACAACGAGGAAGAGCCGGACATCCTCGACGTCAACATGACCGACTGGGACTACTTGTTCTCGCCGCTCGCGTTTGCGATCATCGCCGGGTCTTTGGACTGCGTCGAGGCGCTGCTGACTGCCGGTGTCGACCCGAAGGCCACCTCGAAGGGCAAAGACGGCGGGTCGTACCAGCCGTTGTCCATGACCATGTACACGGACGACGAAGACCGCGCGGTGGAGATCGCTGCTCGGCTTCTCGGGTCTGGAGTCACGTCCTCGATGTCTGACAGCTTGGCGACCGATTTCCACCGCTTCGTCGCCGCCCGCAAGACCAAGCTCGTGTCCGCTGTGCTTCGCCGCGATGCCAATGCCAAGATCGTTGTGGAACACCCCGCAACGATAAACTTTGACCTGGCCTTCCCCATTGTCGGCTCTATCGGCGTTGGAGACTATGCTACGGTTGCCGTCCTCCTCGCGCACGGCGCTAAGCTTAATTATACCGAAGAAGAAGTGTCGAAAGCGGCGGATGCCAGGGGAGTGTAAGTTATCCGTCATTGTCTTCCCACCTTGTGCTTTAGATACTGACAGGCCGACAGCTTGTGGAACTTGAATGCCGGCAAGCACTGGCAATCGAAGATTTACCTGCCCGTCGAGGTCGCTCTCGCGCGCCACGACTACATCGTGCCGATGCTCATCTCTCTCGGCGCCGAAGCCAACTTCAAGATCAAGCGGTTCGCGAATTTGGATCCCACATTACAACACACGGTCCTCGACTGGACGCGCAAGGCGCTGAAGTACTACAACCCAGCCGAGTTCTTCAAGCGGGACGAGGTGACCACGGAGCGCCCTATGGACGCGCCCGCCGGCGACAGCTGGTCGGAGTATAAGGCATACCTCAAGTCGTTCGAGTCGACTCACTACGTAAGGCATGTTCCAGACAAGGAGAGCCCCGCCGATATCGCGCGCATCTACAGCTACATTCAGGAGATGGAGACTGTCCTCGTCGAGCATGGATCGGAGCCGAACCCCACCCCGGCCGCGAAGCCTGCGACTCCCGCCATCGTGCAGCAAAATTTCCCGAAAGTCTCCGGCTACAAGCGGCACAGCGCGTATTCGAACTACGATCTGGTGCCCCTGCACCTGAAGGTGCTGTACGACGAGCTGTACGAGGCGTGCTGGAACGGCGACAATGCGCGCATCGAGGAGCTGTGTCTTCCCAAGCACCCCTCGAAGACCGACCCGCCCCTCCAGATTTCTGTGCAGACTGCGCATCCGGCTAATCATTCGGGTGCGTGTTGTGAGATTCTCGAGAGATATCTAACGTCCCATGCTGATATGTGATTCAGAGCATTCGCCTCTCTCCGTCGCCATCCAGCGCAGGAAGTGGGACACGGCGCGGTTGATTCTTGCCATCGCATACGCACAGTACTTCCCCAATGAAGTCACTGAGCGGTTCAACGTCAATGACCTTGTCGGCGGTAAGTACAAGTTTGGTGCGAAAGTCATTTCGTTCTGATTGCTTCCCATAGACGATGATGACGAGGACGACGAGGACGACGAGGATGACGACGTCGACATGGACGACAGCGAGGTCGACTTGACGGACATCGCAGAGCGCCCGTCCGCCGTCCACTGCAAGGCCTCGCCGAGTCGGATGCTCACGAACACGCACGGCCTGTGGATCTCCAAAGACGGCAAGTCCCACGACACGCCGATCATGGAGCGGGCCGTCATGGAGGACGACTTCGAGGCGTTCGTGAAGATCTGCGACCTGTACAAGGCGGTCGACGAGGACCTGTGGCCGAACAGCTACGTCCCGGACTACATCATGAAGTGGGACCGCCCCGACATGCTCGACGAGCTCATCCGGCGCACGGGCTGCTCCATCAACGTCCCGGTCGTGGCGAAGGACGGCGACGACGATGTGGTCGTGGACGGGAAGCCGATCTCCAAGGAGCGCGTGTACCTCGGGCTCAACATCCAGGGCAAGAAGAGGAAGGACCTCGCGACGCGGCGCACGAACAACCGCGAGCGCCTCTACAAGTCGCTGCTGCACGATGCCGTGTTGGCGGGTGCGTCCAGGATTGTCGACTACCTGGCGACGGACCGCCCGCTGCAGGCGTTCCGCTACTACGGCTCGACGCATACGAACCCCCGTGGCACATTCCTGCGCGAGACGAAAGATCTGGAGAGCGTCCTGCCGGGATGGCTTGGCTGGGAGATCAACTCGCTGAACGAGTCTCCGCTTACTGCAGCGATCAACCTTGGGCAGGACCGCTTCGGCATCATCAAGCAGCTGTTCGAGAAGAAGCCTCAGCTGATGCTGGACGCGATGAATGCTGTGTAAGCTCCGCAATTCTTCTCTCGCGATGTATGCAGACTGACTGTGATCTAATAGGGTGAAGTTCGTGGGCGTTAACGCGCTTACCCTTGCTGTATACAGTAGCGTCAGGAAGGACGATGAAAGCAACACGGAGCTGCTTGACTTCTTCCTGGACAAGGGATGCGACGCCTCCATCCGTGATTCGAGAGGGTACGCAAGATCGCGCCGTGCTTCCCAAAAACATTGCTGACTTGGTTTATAGATGGAATATTTACCATCTGGCTGCCGTCGCAGTCAACGACGCGACCCGTGCTAGCACTCTTGAACATCTCCTGAAGGTCTTGCCCAAGGACATGACGGATGCGCTGATGCTCCAACAATCGAAAGAAGCTCTCAATACGGTGAGCCGTACCTCTCCTCTCTTCGTTCGCCTTGCTCACCATCACCATAGCCCCTCATGCTTGCCGTGAAGAGAGGACGGACCGCTACTGTCGAGGTCATGCTGAAGCACGGCCTCGACGCCTCTATCTTCAGCCTCCGCGACACGAAAGGCTCAATCCCCCTGCACATCGCCGTCCAGAACTGCAACGACGAGATGGCGCGGCTGCTCATCAGGCACGGGCCCCCCGAATGCCTCTTCATCGAGAACGGCGTCGGGCAGACCGCCGTCGACGTCGCCATCCAGAAGCGCCTGAACGCCCTGCAGGCGTGCCGCATGGGCAGCATCAGCGCGCCGCAGATACTCGCCGTCCCGATCTACAACGTCGGGCGCGTGCCGCTGCAGCTGGACGAGCTGGAAGAGCAGGTGCCGAAGCTGCGCGCGACCCTCGACGGGCTGCTCCAGGAGGGCCAGCTGAAGCAGGGCACGAAGCTCGCGACGGAGCTGTCGGTGTTCACGGGGCAGATGGAGGCGAAGCTCGCCGTGCTGCAGTCCGAGGCGGCGCAGAAGGCCGCGGATAAGCCCGAGGGACGCGCGGTGGATCCGCGTAATGCCAAGACGGACGTGTACGCCGTCGCGGATATCGTGCGGGCCGCGGTCGCGCAGACGAAGGGCCACCGCAAGCTTGTGCACCTTCTCGACGTGCAGAAGTCCGTGCAGGCGAACCTGGAGCGCTATATAGTGGAAGAGGACCCGCAGAAGGTGCTAGAGCAGAAGATGAAGCAGACGGACGGCTTTGCGCCGGAGCCCGTGGCGGAGGACCCGGCGGAGCTGCAGGGCCCGCAGAAGATTGTTGTGTTGTCTGGGAAAGACGGCTGGTAGGCAGGGGCTTGATGGAGCAGCGACGTATATATCACAATGTGTACAGTAGCAATGACAACAGTTTTCGCATTACTTCTGTGCATCTCCCGACCGACCCGCGTCGCATGCGGTCGTGTGTTATTCTTGTGCATTTGATGGTGCGTCTTGGGACAGAGCAGCAGCAGGTATTCCACGACTAGGCCGTGATGAAGTATACGACCTTCGCGCCCGGTAGAGTGAACATTCTTCATCTTCCATTTGCCTGCGTTGGGTTTGTGTCAACGACGTGATATGGTGTAAATGTCAGAACTTGGAGTTTCCTGTCGTAGTGGAGGATATATTGAGGGCTTGGAATTGTCGGGACCGCGGACGAGGACACAGAGTGAGAGGGCCACTCATTCCAACCACGAAACGACACGTTGATCAAAATACAGGGCAAAAAAAGCGAGCATTTATTCCATCCAGGTCATACCAGGAATCGAACCTGGGTTACAGGAAGTCACACTGTCAAGTCAGAATCCTGGGTGCTAACCGCTACACTATATGACCATGTTGCTCGTTCGACACGCCAAAGGATGTATCAAATTTTGATCTGGATCACTGGGTCTCATGCACGTGACTAGACAGTCTACAAAATGCTGTAATATCCTAATATCCTGACACGATGAACGGCACGAAAAAGCTGCGATTCCGCGTCTTTCTTCGGAACTTCCACTACACGATGTCTTCGAGGACCACCACTCAGCATCCTGACCTTTTCCCCGTGTTTTTGCCCTGTTTTCCTTCTTTTTCAACCAACGGGCACCCGTTCACGTCGTATCGGTCACATCTGTGGATGTCGTCTACACTTCGTATGGAAGAACGCGGCGGTGAGGAGGAAGGGGTGGGTGGTTGAGAGACGGTTGGTGGAGGCGTGACCTATGTGACCGCATGTGACGTGTCCCTTTGTTGTGTCCTCTGGAGTCACGTGTCACGCCACTCTCGCTTTCCTTCATCCTCTCCTCCTCCTCCCCGTCCCTCTCTATCCTCTTAACTCCCTCTCTCGTTTACCAGCATATACGACGGGGAATCCTAGCTGTGATCAGGGTGCTCAATCTTGAGCACAGAGTCGTGGCATAGAGGTTGCTCGCCCAGCCTTGGTCTTGCCATCCTTCTTCTCCTTCCTCCAGTTGAACGCCATCCACCACAGCTCCTCCCTGCTTTGAGCTAGGTTCCTCCAAACTTCTCTCGAGCAGAGGAACGCGGCATAGAAGTTGCTCGTCCAACTTCTCTGCTTCAACTTCTCTTCTCCGCTCATCTCATGCAGCCACCTGCCGACCCGCCTGCGCCAAGCAACTCACATCCCTTCGGCTTTGAGGGCATTCTCAACCCCTCACAGTTCTTCACTGGCCAGAACGGTGAATACACCGACCACTCGCTCAAAATCCGCGTCCCTCCCATGAACCTGCGCAATCGCCACCGTACCAATTCCACCCACAGCGCCGCGTCGGGCTCCATCTACAACGACAGCAACGCCTCTATGGACGTCGACCTCCCTCTCGATGAGGATGCCGAAGGCGAAGACGACCCCCAAGTGCCACCGCCGCCCCCAGTGCAGTACGGCGTGTCGTCGCGAGGGCGGCGCATCGCAAAGAAATCCTACGTCGAGTCTGAGGACGACGGCACCGTCAACCCCGACGCACTCCTCGGCGACGAAGACGCTCCCAACGGCGACCTGCTCGACGACGCACCCGATGAGGACGAATCCGCCCCGCGCCGACGCACGCGCTCCTCCGCCAAGGGCCCGCCGAAGAAGTACGTCGTCATGAGCAGCGACGAGGGCGATGCTGGCTCGAATGGCGGCAGACGCTACCCGACGCGCAGCAGGAGCAAGAAGCCCGACGCCCCCGCCAGCAACGGCAGCCGCACGCGCCGCCAGGCGGCCCGCACCAGCCCCCGCACCACCCGCATCAGCCGGTCGCGTCCTGGCATGCGCACGCGTCGCAGCGCGCAGGCGGAGGACGACGCAGACGGGTACGTCGACGAGCCCGAGGAGTCTGCGTCGGCAGACGGCTCCTTTGAGGACGCGTTGCACACGTCGTCGGACGTCGAGCCGGAGGTGGAGATTGCCGTCGACGAGGACGCGGACGCGGACGGCGAGGTCGAGCTCGAGCAGGAGGACAACGGGCGGCCGTATGCGCTGCGCAGACGCGCCAAGGTCAACTACGCCATCCCCCCGCCACTCGAAGAGATCCCGTCCGCGCCGCCGAAACCGAAGTCAGGAGGGCGTGGGCGGAACGATTGGAATCGAGGTCGGAAAGGCCCCGGCTTCAGTGCCACTGGCGCTGAGCTCGGGCGCTTCCTGGGCCTCCCCACTGGCGACGACTCGGTACGTGCAGCCTGATCCCGACCTCGTCTCGTGCTGAACCGCGAGGGTGCAGGATTCCGACGCGCCTGGCCGAGCGCCGTTGAAGGGCTTGGGTGGTGCCGCGTTCACGGGTGGCGTCGGCCCTGGGCCAAGTGGGATCTTGCCCGCTGATTTGGCAGCAGCTGCTGGTGGGCCCTCAAATTTTGGGAAAGTCGGCGATGCAGGTACGTTCTATCCTGTCTCGCCGTGACGCGGATGAGTGAGGTGGATGCTAATCGTTCGCGACCGGTGCTGCTCCTTTGTAGCCCTGGCGGATACTGATCCATTAGGCGTGAATCAGAATGTCACTTTCGATGAAGTCGGTGGTTTGGACGACCGTATGTCCGCATATATGCATTCGCACTGGCTGTCGTCTTGATATGTGCGCTGCAGACATCAATTCGTTGAAGGATATGACTCTCCTTCCCTTGTTATACCCCGAAGTCTTCCAACAATTCAACCTCACGCCACCACGCGGCGTCCTCTTTCATGGCCCTCCGGGTACTGGAAAAACACTCCTCGCGCGAGCACTCGCAGCGAACTGTCGTTCAAACGGCAAAGGAATTTGTATGACTCCGCCCTAGTGTCCTTATCCATTAATGCTGAACATCTCCGCAGCATTCTTCATGCGCAAAGGCGCCGACGTCCTCTCCAAATGGGTCGGCGAGGCCGAACGCCAGCTGCGCCTGCTATTCGAAGAGGCCCGGAACTGCCAGCCGAGCATCATTTTCTTCGACGAAATCGACGGCCTCGCGCCCGTGCGCTCGTCGAAGCAGGACCAGATCCACGCGTCGATCGTGTCGACGCTGCTTGCGCTCATGGACGGCATGGACGGCCGCGGGCAGGTCATCGTCATCGGCGCCACCAACCGCCCCGATGCTGTCGACCCGGCGCTGCGGCGCCCCGGGCGATTTGACAGGGAATTCTACTTCCCGTTGCCCGATCTGAATGCGCGGGAGAAGATTTTGAGGATCATGACGAAGAAGTGGGAGGGGTGGGAGGGCGAGAAGGGCGAGGAGAATGCGAAGGGCCTGGCGAAGATGACGAAGGGGTATGGTGGTGCTGATTTGAGAGTGAGCGAATGTCTTGTTTGGAGGCTGTCGATGGATGCTGATTTGTCGAATATAGGCACTGTGCACGGAAGCTGCGTTGAATGCTATTCAGAGGCGGTACCCTCAGATCTACAAGTCGAATGATCGACTACTGCTCAAGCCGGAGACGATCAATGTGCAACTTCGCGACTTCATGTTGTCGATCAAAAGTGAGAAATGTGTCACACTACTAGGCCTATGACATTAATGTGCTATTCGTCCAGAGATCGTTCCTTCATCAGCCCGCTCATCATCGTCCGTTGCCACGCCGTTACCGCCACAGCTGGTACCATTGCTGTCGGACACGTTCGATAAGGTGAAGAGTCAGCTGAACAAGGTCATGCCTCTTGGAAAGAAGACCACGGCATTAGAGGAGGCTGAATGGGAGGATGAAGGCCAAGATAATGCCTTGGAGCGTGAGCTTTTGCTTCAATGTAAGTTTTCTTCTACTGTGAATGAATGGACTTGTCTGACCACCTGATTAGCAATGGAGACGCTGAGAGTATATCGTCCTCGTGTCATCTTGCATGGCCCTCCAGGCATGGGTCAGGGCTACATTGGTACTGCCGCGCTTCACCATCTTGAAGGTTATCACGTACAAAACCTTGATCTTGGCACGCTCATGGGGGACTCAACGAGGGTACGCGCGCCTATGCCATTCGTCGTGGAAATATTGACTCAACTCCCATATAGACGTCAGAAGCTGCCATCGTCCAGCTCTTCGTCGAAGCGAAGCGCCATCAACCATCCATCATCTACATTCCCTCACTAATAGCGTGGTGTGCTGCGGTCTCAGAAACAACGCGCACCACCGTCCAATCCATGCTCAACACCCTCGCTCCTACCGACCCCGTCCTTCTCCTCGCTGTCGTCGAAGGCTCTTTCATGTCGCTCCCGCGGGATGTGCGTTCCTGGTTCGGACCGTCCCGCGAAAATCGCATCGAGATCGCCCAGCCTAGCGCCGAAAAGCGAGAGGCATTTTTCGATGGCATCCTCAAAGACGTCGAGCGGCCGCCAAACCACTTCCCCGACGGCATGAAGCGCAAGAAACGTGTACTCGAGGAACTGCCGATTGCGCCACCGCTGCAGCCTCGTCAGCCGAGTGCGGCGGAGCTTGCGGTGCAGGAGGAGAATGACCAGCGACTGGTCACGTTGCTGAGGTATAGGCTAGGGCCTATCTTGACGGAGCTAAAGAGAAAGTTCAAGCGTTTCACCAAGCGCGCTGTCGTAAGTGACTCTTTTCCGTCTTGCTTTATGGTGGCTGATGACATGTTGCAGGAGGAGTACAACTTCGACCCGAACGAAGAGGTCGCGCAGACCGTCACAAATCCCGTCATCGAGGTCGCAACGACAGCTGTTGAGACCCAGCCCACAGAGAACGGTATTGTGGAGCAAGTGAATATCAACGGAGAGCAGATGCAAGTCGAAGCCGCCGCCGCCGTTGACGGCATACCCACAGAGCAAGTCCCCGCTGCGCCGCCTCCACCGCCTCCTGCTCCTGTTCCAAAGCTGTTCGACATGGACCTCGAGCGGATGCACTACGAGCTGTACCGCAATCGCTACCTGACACCGCAAGACTTCCTCTCGGACGTGGGCAAGATGGTGTACAACGCGAACATCCGTGTCCACGAAGATCCCGAACGTCTCTACCGTGCTCAGGCGATGTACACCGCAGCGGAAGTGAGCATCCTGGATTTCGATGCTCAGTTCCGCGTCGAGTGCGAGCGCATGGCTGCCCGTGAGCGCCAACGACGCGAGGAGCGAAAGAAACAGCGGCAGAAGGACCGGGCATCGCTTGAGGCGGAGGTCAACGGTGACACATACCAGCCTGGCACGCGACGCAGCGCGCGGAACAACGGGCAGGAACCCGAAATCGCGATCACCGACCCTTTGCTTCTCGAACGGAAGCTCAAGCGGCAGCGCTCGAAGGAGGCAAGCGGCGATTCACAGGCGTCGGGCGAGGAGAACGGGGAGGGTCGCGACGCGAAGCGCACAAGGCTCAGCGAAGACCCTTTGAACATCGGTCCAGGTCCACCCACGCCGCAGCACGTGTCTACTGTGCATTTCGCAGA